TTCTTCAAAGGTGTGAAGTCCCATCACTGTGTTTTGTTGTGTGTGAGGATATTGAGTAGATTGTTAGGTCTTTCGATCTGGTGTCTTGATCAATGCACGTGTTTAGTGGGAGGAATTCTTCCAGCATCTGGACTGATGAGCAGCAGCTGTTCTACTCTCCTATTTAGAGGTCACCTGCAGTATAAGACAACCAATGCTCTGTCTAATCATCACTCTCAGGAGACACTCTTGTTCCCACGGCCCTGATCACTTTCCCAGCAATGCCTTTCATTTCCGACTATAGCTCCTACAGGTCATTTGGTGCATGATGATTCAAATTAATATGATTTAACCATATGATAACCATTTTTTCAGATTTTCATAAGGAAAGTTGGTCCTTGCTCATGCATAATTTGTCCCTGCTATGCTAGTGTGTTGAAGGAGGTTGCCAAGACATAGTTGTAAAGTATTATGGTACTTTTTTTACCTGGTAAAGTGACCATGAGGTTAAACAAAAAATAATTAATGTCCATAACGTGAACAGTGCAGGCTGAGTTAATAAAGTTTATCATCTAGGGTTAGGAGTTTTTTGAGAAACCTTCTATAAAGTTTGATGTATCACAAGTTCAGAGTTACAGCTGTAATACATTAACCAATCAGAGGTGTGTATCAGCTTACATAGATGTGAGAACATTGAGTCTCTGATCCACTGGATTATTAGCAGCCATCTTCAACAGATGTTTACCCTGTTGTGAGATCATATGAACCACACCATAGTTTTTTTTTATGTTGTTAGCAGACTGGCAGCTGATTGACATTCCAACCTCTCAGACTACAGATCTGTTCTCCCATAATGCAGTGTGATCATTTTATTCCAGTTAACTCTTTTAAAACATATTTTTAAATATAATAGGGTATGAATCACAAGACTGTCACACATTTCATGAAAAAGAGACACTTGATCATTGATACCGCTTATTTCCTTTATCAAATGTATTTCTATTTAATAATCTTTAAACCTTGATAATGTCTTCATCTTATTTGCCAGATTTTTCCAGTGTGATTATAGTATATTCTACAGAATAAATAAATCAACCTAAATTAATGTACTCCATTTATTTTAATTAAATAATGAAAAAAATAAAATATTAACTTTTTAAATATTAAAGAATATTAAATATTAAAATATTAAATATTCTTTAATTTTTCTTCAAAATAGTATATTTAAAGTAGTTTAATATTTTTAGACTTTTTTTGTAATAATAAGATTCGGTAACACCTCATTTTACAGTGTCCTTGTTACATATGTTACATGTACTTACCATAGTAATAACAGTAAATTATGCATAATTACATAACCCTCAACCAAATCCTAATCCTACCCTAACCCTATAGTAAGTACATGTAGTTGATTAATATTACTCGGTACTTAAATATATAATTACACTGTAACAATGACACCTTAAAATAAAGTGTAACCTAAGATTCTTGTATAAGATGATACATTTAATTTTGTAGAGAGGTTGATACAAAATGTCAGGATGGGGCCTTGTTTGCCCTTAATCTTCTGCCTTTTACTACTTTACTTTGCAACACTTTGAATTTTTGGGGTGTTTGTCCACATAAAACACATCTTAAAACCCCTTTATAAACACACATGAACTGATCCCATGACCGAACTGGCCACTGCTGCTGCAAATGACCTTTTCCACTTTTGACCCCCTGATTTACAGCACCAATGTCCACCCTAGTTAGTACCCTGACCCTTGAAATATTTGCACATGCACTTTATTGGACAAGTTTTACTAGACTCAGAAGGTGCTGTCCCTGGGCAGCACCTTGGCATTGGCCCGGGTGCAAAGTCATGTCTGTCATCGCCGTCTGTTGAGTTTCCCAGGATGGAGCTTGATAGAAGTCCTTCTGGTATGAGAAACAGTTGTTACTCGGTACAGCTGTTGCAGCGAGTAATGAGACGGCTCGTCCAGGTAAACCATAAGTCACAGCGCCCGGTGTCCTCTTAGTGTGAGGCTAAAACAGCTGACTGCTCACAAAAGTGCTCTCCTGCTGTGAGGGAGAAGGTCAAGAGACCATCTGCCTCAAGAGACATATACTGTACTCATTATTTCCTCTTCCTTGTTTGTTCTTTTTCTCGCTTTCAGTTGTACAGTAAAACAGTACATCTGCTTACTAAGTGCTTTCCGACTCCTCTTCTGCTTTTTCAGGTTCTTGGGGATGTTTTATCTGAGCTGTATCGGGCCCTGAAAGGGGTGGTGCGGTCGGACCCAGATGATGTGGCTGTACTCCATGCTCAGCTCGCTCTGGAGGAGCTGGATGATGTCATGAGGAGGTTCATCTTCCCTCAGCAAAAACTTGAGAAAAAGATTGTGGTACTTCCTTGAAAGCGCTCCAGAAATGACATAACATTTTTTTTTTGTAGACCTCTTATTTCTACCATCCGTTTATATTTGTAGTAATTGAATAATTGATACATTTGCAGCTTTTTTTCTTCTTCTCCATAATCAGTTTTCACACCCACATTTCCATTCTCAAACCGAAAAACCTGTCTTGCCATTGATATACTAGCATTGTGCCTTTTGTTATCTGTTACACTGAGGTTAGAGGGCAACAAAAGCAAAAGATCTATCTTTGTAAAGAGCCCTGGTGTAGCTGGTTGCCACTTTATTCTGCACTGGTGAAAAAATGCCTGTTTGCTTTTTATCGAATGTTTGTTGTACATATAAAGACGGCTAGGTCATGACATCATTGTAAGATACGACAGGGCAATTAGTCATTCTCTTAAAGTTCCTCCCACTGCACAATACTAAAACTATCCATTCATGTTAACCATCTGTATAGCATCCTGACCTCTTGGAACTGCCCTGAAGCAGAACTGGTTAAATACCATACAAATACAAATGTTAGCATTTATGCTAACTCATAAATAGATATCTTGGTCATGATGTGTCTCTAAAATAGAATAAAGAGTGCTTATTTTTCCAAAGCTGGTCTAATGTGTTTATATTATGCTGTCATTAACAGTTTCTTTTTCCCTTTGCTTGGACTGTTTTAGAGGTAATATAAATGTAAGCATGTGTCTGAACATCTGGTTTAGGTTGCAGTGCCACAAGTTCCTGTCTGCCTCGTGTGCTGTAAGGTAATAGGTGAACCAAATATTAATAATCTAAAAATAGTTCACATTGTAACACAAATCATTTATGTGGGTTTATAGTATGTTAAAGTCAATATGAATTGTAGTTTGCAATGGATTGTACTTCTGTAATGTTAAAGGGATAGTTCAGCCAAAAATGAAAGTTATGTCATTATTTACTCACCGTTATATTGTTTCAAGCTTGTATGACTTTCTGTTCTCTGTGGAATGTAAAAGAAGATATTTGAGAAATGTCTCTGTGTTTTTTTTTTGTTTTTTTAAATACAATGGAAGTCAATAGTCACCAAAACTGTTTGGTTACCAACATTCTTCAAAATATCTTCTGTTATTTCTACACAGATTTGGAAGGGATGGGATGGGGTGAGAAAATGTTGACACAATTTTCATTTTTGGGTGAATGGCCCTTTTGAGTATTTCTGAGAAATGCAGGAAAAATGTAGGGCATGAATTGTGGGCATTTAATGGAGCCAGACTGAATGGAAGTTTGCTAAAGCAATAACTAAATTTTACCCAAATACCCTTTCCCGTGGATTCACAGACAAGGCTTAAGCCTAGTCCCAGACTAAAATGCATGTTTGAGCCGTTTGAACTGAAAGCAACTTGTACTGACATCTTAAAATATGTCAGTGCCATTATTCTGTCTCAAAATGCACACCAGTAATGTTTTTTTTTTCTAAGGCATGTTTACAAAAGCTACTTGAATGTCGTAATTGAACTAAAACCTAATCCTGTCTTAATCTAAGCCCTGTCTGTGAAACCGGGCCTTTGATTAAAATGAAATTAAAGGTTTTACTTTGGAATAACATACACAGATGAAATATTCACAATAAGAATGTTCATTTAGAAAATAAGTAAATATGAACTATTTAAATTTCATATTGACCACATTTACATGTCAACAATACATTTACTGTGTTCAGAAACTTTGAGAAAAAAGAGAAACCAGGATAAATATAATTTTTAAACATTTGAAAAACAAAAAAATTAGAGAGAGTTTGTTAAACTTTGTGCTGTTTTTTTTTTTTTTTTGTTTACTGTTTAGCACCAACAACTTTTTAACATTTTAGTGTGTATTATTTTGTGATCCTTGCATCAAAACCTCAATGGTGATTCACACTTAAAAATCAGTTCATTCACTGTTTTTATTGATCACAAAAGTGAAAAAGACAAACATTTAAGCTCTCAGTCGTCCTTCAGTGTGTTTTAGTAAACTACTTTGTTTAATTCCATTATTTTGTGATAATAAGACTTTCAATAAATTTAAGGTCTGGACTCAGAGGTTCCAATTCATGTGTGAAAATGATTCCTCATGCTCCTCCTAACCATTCTTTCACATTTTGAGCCTGATGAATCTTGACATTGTCATCCTGGAATATGTCCATGATGTGTCTTGACTCTTGTTGCCATACATATAACATGCTAGAAACACAACGACTGCAACAATGATCCAATCATAAAATCTTAAGCATTTAAATCCAAACAGCAACTTTCTTTGTTTTTGGGGTGCTTATATAGTCTTAAAGGCACAATAGCAAACATAAACAGCCTGTTTAATAGAGAGAGTGAATGGATTTTGATATCCATGTTTTGACAAGTCCTAATATTGTTCATTGCACATGTATTTAAACCCACTTTCATGCAGTGTTGGCTAAAACAACTGCCGTGTGGTGGCCTGCTGCCCAGTTGGAAGTCATAAACTTTGTCTCAGTGTTTCTGCAAAGGAACCTCACAAGTCTCTTGAGGTGTCTCTGATAATTGCTTCTCTGGTTAAGATCCAAGGACGTTCCCACAGCAAGGGGTAAACCAGTGACGCCACGATCTAGTGGAGAGTCACACTTTTACCTTCCTTCCCCGCAAACCCCATAATAACCTTCTCACGACTGCTATTCAGCCATGAAAGAGCCATTACGCTAATTACTCTTCCTGCCGTGCAGCAGACTCGGGAAGAGAAAGGGCGTGAGCGTGTTTTACCTGGCTGGTGACTTTCGGAGGGGTCGTTCCCGAAAACAGAGCAAGTTTTCATTGGGTGGCCGGAAGAAGACACAACTGAGATAGGAATGTTTGGAGATGCCGTGGATATTGATTATCTCCGAGCCTGCTGCAGTCTATCTTTCTCTTCCTTCTCTCGCAGATCTCTTCATCAGCCGGTGTTGGACCTGCAGGCTGCCAGCAGGAGGGGTGCAGGGAGGGGTGATAGATAAATAAATAACCCAATAAAGGATGCATTGAGAGGGTGTGTGTGTAGCCAAGAGAAGAGTGTGCCTGCTCAAACAGTCCAGAGTCTTGTTGAAGGCTGGCTGCACTGCAGAGCAGGGGGGGAAAGCACAGAGAAGGGACCTTGAAGGATTTTCGGCTGCACTGCAGAACGATGCCACTGCAGTAAAGCACTGAAACAGAGGCATGAGGTCCACCGGCGGACCCCCGTCCTGCTCGCGCCAGGTGAGAAGTTAGTTCAGAGCTGATATCAGAGGTCTTCATGCCTCGGGACTCTCCGGGAGGAGAGTGAGGGAGAGAGACAAAAAGAAAGGGAGGGAAGCAGAGGAGGAGGAGTAGGGTGATGGTGCTGTATTTTTGGATAAGGGATCTCCTGAATTAAGTGTGGCTGGAATAAAGATGTAGTGTGAGCAGGAGGCTGAACAAGGACGGTGCTGTGCTCCACTGTGGTGGAGAGGAGCGGAGCAGACGCCTGGCAGACACACACTCGCACACACACCGACTCCACCAGAGGAGAGAGAGAGAGAGAGAGAGAGACCACCGTCACAGCTGCGGGGCTGGGAAGGTAAGAGACATATCATTCAACTTAAGTTTTCTTTTGTGTTTGTGTTTATTGTAGGAGTGGATGAAATATGAAAGCATGCTGCACAAGAGCTCTGTCGAATGTTCATTGTGTGGTTGTGTGTGTGTATAATTCACAAAATTGAGAGAGAGTCAAAGCATGTAAATTTAGGTTGGGTAGGTGTGTTTTTTGCACAAATAGGCTACTGTAAGCTTGTGCTTAATACTAAGCAACTTCAAATAAATGGTTATGTGTAGAGTTTGAGAGAATCTGTGAAATTATGAGATTTTTTAAGATCCTCATATGTGTTTTTTTAGTAATTACAATATTAGTCCTAGTGGACTAAGATTGGCCCTCGGTTTCTTGGCACCCTTGCTAGTGCCCTGAGGCTGAGTAACTAAGTCGGCAGCAGGACGGAATAAAACAGGAAAGCTTCAGAATGGCTCGATTAAGGAAAATGACGTCTGTTTAGCTTTCCATTTCATCATACTTTGACAACACAAGGGTCTAGTGAGAGTTTCAAAAGTGTTTGAACTATTTGCTAGAGACCAAAATAGGATTCACCCCAACGCAGGCTCTATAGAACTGGAAGAACTTGACAAAAGATTTGTTAAATATTACATGCAAGTTCAGTGTGTGTTTTTTTTCTTCTATAAATCTAATGCGTTTTATTATAATCCTAGTGACTTTACTATTGTTAATTCAGGTCTATATAAATGAATGTGAGCATTTAATTAAAAAAAAAAAAAAGAAATACCTGATTTTTGGAAATGCCTTTTGGAAATTGGATGAGAGGATGAATTCTCAGTAGGTGCCCCCTAGTGTTTTTTCATTTACAAATTCACAAAAAAAAAAAAAACAGATACAATTTCTTAAACATCAATAATGTTTGAGATTTTATTGTTGAATATTTTATTAGATTGTAAAAAAATATATATATTTTGCAATATTGTTTCCAAGAATATTAGCATTTTATTTTATTATATTCTATTCTCAATGAAGTTACACTACCTAGACATTTTTGACTTTCACAAAGAATTGAATTTTTGATGTATTTTCGAAAAACAAAAACAAAAAGCATCACGTCATTTGCTCATTAACAATGCAAAGAAATTGAGTCTATAACAAACCAGGACTTTAAGTTGAATAGCTGTGACACCAATCACATCATGACTGTGGAGATTGTGGATTATACAATTTAAAAGTGATTTATATCTGAGTCTCGATTGATCATTACTTCAGTTGATCATTATAATTATAATGCATATTAGTATAGTGTACTGGTACAATAATTTACCCAAACACATCATGCTCTGCCTTCCAGCCATTCATCTCACATCCTCTCACCTGCTGCCCTCCCTCATCGGTCCTGGTGATTCCCAGCCCCCCTTCATTCCTCTCCCACTTCCTCCCTTTGTCAGTGTCCTGTCTTGCATCCAACGTCCTCATTCAATCTGGTTCACACCTGAGAATACACGGGGGCAAGAGGCTTTAGCCGGTTACCCCCCTACCAACCCGCAATTCACCTGTGACTTCATACAGATCTCTTGGATCCTGTCCACTTCTGTTCCATCTGTGACCACCTGCTTCTGTCTAGGCTGAGAATGCATGATTACCCATGATCATCCCTACCATCACTCACAAGAGAAACAGACCTGAGAACGACATCCTGCATCCTCTCTGTTAATCACTGGGAAGAGTATGGAATAGAATTATTAAAAGCAAACTAAGGATCTGAGATTATCGAGCTCTCATGGATTGATCTCCACCCGGGCTGTGAATATCCCATCATGACAACAGTGAGTAACCAGAACCTCTGACCTCTTTATTTGGTGGAAAGTTGAACTTCCGTCATTAGGTTTGATACTGACATCCAGGGGTTGCGTAGAATGCAATGCAGCATGCAGATATTAACATTGTGATGTTTTATTGTCCTAAATGGTTAATTTAAAGGTTAAATGTGTTATAGATCACCTTGTGTGATGACTTAGTCTCCACTATTCTTAGATGTGCATCTTGAGTTGACTTAATCTTACCTTAATCAAAGGCTGCCATGTGAACACCTTTCATCACACATATGGTAGTGGGTTTGTTTGCTGTGTTTGGGGACTGAGTGACGGTTGGTGTCTTGTTGAGTATGACATGGGGCCCTTCTTCATACCCGTCCCTTTGAGCTAACAAGCCTCCGGAGGAAGATTCCCTCTAATTATGGTCAAACATAACACTCAGTATGTGCCTGCTGTCTCTATCTTACCCTCAGGGGTCTATGTTGTCTTTGTTCACATCACAAGAAGGTGTGTAGGATAGCGCAAGAAAGGGAGAAACCCATTATATAGTTCATAAACAATATTTAGGTTTTATGGCAGTTCTCACTTCAGATACATTGCTTATTTCATGTAACGTGAAACCAAAATTGCTAATATGAAAGGAACAGTTATGTATTTCTTGGAATTAAATGATGTAAAACGGTTAAGTACTGGTCTGGTGCAGCTGTAAATAACTGTGGGAACAGTTAGTTACTGTGATAGAAAAATCAACAACCACTTCAGTGGAAGTCAGCGTTATTTCTGCCACTCTTCTCCATTGCGTTGGCTGTTATGATATAAGGGCACTGAGTGAAGCAGCTCTTTCTTTCATGAGAGGGGGAGCAGGAGGCAAGTGAATGAATGAAAGGGGGGGATTGTTCCTTAGTCTGGTACCACTGATTACCTGCCAAACTCGGCCTAGCCTTTAATTAAAGTCATTAACCTGAGAGAATGAGAAAAAAGTGAGAAAGACAAAGAGAGAGTGACTGAGAGAGAGTTTCACATGAGGTTGATACTGTTCTAAAATTGTCACAATGTCAGTTGTTGCCATGTGTTTGGAATAAATTCAAAATTGTTGACCCTTCTGTTCATGTGGTAATCTCACAAAGCCTTTAAAGATTTTTTTTTGCACTTTTCTGTTTTTTTTTCTAATTTATTTTATTTCTATTTTTTTCTGTTATGTTATTTCTTGTTATTTCCTTCTCTTTTTTTCTTTTGATTTTGGGGTGAATTATTACCAGTTCATGTATTCCTGAGATACACTTTAATTGGAGTTAAAATCAAATTTGATAATAATATATAAAATTGATATTTTATATTTGATAAAATATATTTATATTTTGAAAAAGCACAAATCCAAAAATAATTTGTGCTTTTTCAAAATGATTCCACAATAGAGAAATAGCTACTGGTGCGAGGGGAGAAAAGAGGAAATGGTCAGGTAAGGAGGGAGAAGAAGAAGAGGTAATGATGTTTCTCTCTACCCTTAGTGATAATATCCCTTTTTCTCCCTCTTCAGATGCCCTCTCGATTTGGCACTGCGGTGCGGATCTTCATCACCACCCTATTCGCAGCAGTGGTGCTTTTTGCTATCCTACTAGCCTATGTGACAGGCTACCAGTTCATCCACACCGAGCAGCACCACCTGTCTTTTGGCCTGTACGGTGCCTTTCTGTCCCTCCACCTCCTCCTGCAGAGCCTCTTCGCCTATCTGGAGCACCGACAGATGCGTGGCCCCTCCAGACCTCAGCACCTGCGTCACACCGTGGCCCTCTGCATCGCAGCCTATCAGGAAGATCCGGACTACCTTCGCAAGTGTCTGCGGAGCATTCGCCGCATTTCTTTTCCCGGGCTTAAAGTGGTGCTGGTGGTGGATGGGAATCGGCAGGAGGATTCCTACATGATGGACATCTTCCAGGAGGTGATGGGGGGAGTGGAGCAGACGGGCTGTGTGGTGTGGAAGGGGAATTACCACAGCGACGGGGATGGGGGAGGAGGGAAAGGCTCATTGCATGCCGAGGAAGCTGCACATGTGGCCAGGGTGGTGCGGAGCTGCCATTACTCCTGCATCATGCAGGAGTGGGGCGGCAAGAGAGAGGTGATGTATACAGCCTTCAAAGCACTGGGAGATACTGTGGATTACATACAAGTAAGTCTAGACACCATTTACAACCTAAAAATGCAATAAAATGGAAAAAGTACTGGCTTTTATAGGAGTAAACAGCATTTATTCCAGACTTGCTTACTTGTTGCTCTTGGATGGCCAAATTACTATTTTGAAAAACATTGGATTTCATATTATTGAGCCTACAATATACTGTCACTCTTCATAGTCTGCCATAACCCCAGAGTTCCCTCAATGTCACTGTAATATGAATCCATGCAGCATTGAGGTCAAAGGTCAGTCGTATTACTTACCTTCCCCTGTAGTCCTGAGCACACCTGTGCGCTGTCATCAACTTTTCATTGTTTCAGCATATGATTGATATCTTCAGAAACCAAGATGACCTTGAAACATCTGTGAGCCAATGTCTATGGTTGCAACAGTCCTTGAATTGTTCACACAGTCATTGTCAACATCAGCCTCAATAACTGAAAAGAGTAAATAGTTGCATGAGTTAAAGTCGCGAGGAGCGTTCTAAGTCGTATACATCTTTTGGTTTTGCAGGTATGTGATTCTGACACTGTACTTGATCCAGCATGCACCATTGAGATGCTGAAGGTTCTAGAGGAGGATCCAGAAGTGGGTGGGGTGGGAGGAGATGTCCAGGTGAGAAATGTGCCTATTTTAGTTTTAAATATGCAGAGAGACATTTTAAGTTTTCCAGTACCTTTCTTCTTTAAAGATTACCCACGGAGAGTTCTTTCAATGTCTTTTTCAGATTCTGAACAAGTACGACTCCTGGATCTCCTTTCTGAGCAGTGTCCGGTATTGGATGGCGTTCAACATAGAGCGGGCCTGCCAGTCTTACTTTGGATGTGTGCAGTGCATCAGTGGACCTCTGGGAATGTACCGCAACTCTCTCCTCCAACAGTTCCTGGAGCCCTGGTACCACCAGACCTTCCTAGGAAGCAAGTGCAGCTTCGGTGATGACCGGCACCTCACCAACCGCGTCCTCAGCTTCGGCTACAAAACCAAGTTCACGGCACGCTCACAATGCCAGACCGAGACCCCCACGCAATACCTGCGCTGGCTCAACCAGCAGACCCGCTGGAGCAAGTCTTACTTTCGAGAGTGGCTCTACAATGCGCTTTGGTTCCACAAGCACAGCCTCTGGATGACATATGAATCTGTGGTCACTGGGTTCTTCCCCTTCTTTCTGGTGGCTACAGTCATCCATCTGTTCTACCGAGGTCGGTTGTGGAACATCTTGCTTTTCTTGCTGACGGTCCAGCTGGTGGGCATGGTGAAAGCCACCTATGCCTGCTTCCTGCGGGGCAGCCTTGTCATGATCTTCATGTCATTGTACTCACTACTCTACATGTCAAGCTTGCTGCCTGCCAAGATCTTTGCCCTGTTGACTATTAACAAAGCAGGTTGGGGCACATCAGGCAGGAAAAAGATAGTGGTAAACCTTATTGGAGCTGTGCCTGTGACCATGTGGGCGGCCATACTGCTCGGTGGCGTGGTTTATACCATTTACTGCGAGGTGCAAGAACCCTTCAGTGAAACTGAGAAGGCTCTTCTTATTGCGGGCACCATCCTCTATGCCTGTTACTGGCTCATACTTCTGGTGCTCTACCTGGCCATAGTGGCCAAGCGCTGTAACAAAAGAGAGGAACAGTACCACCTATCCTATGCCGAAGCATAGTCTTTCTAAAAGATCAATACACGCTGTCAGGGCTCATTTGAAATGGACCTGTCTTTACCTGGTGCTGCAATCCTGGATATAGTTGGATCATGTGCAGGTCCAAGACTGTTGGTTGTTAGTTATTTTAACTATGCTAGCTACGGCTATATGAGAGCTTTTGGACAAAATCAAGAGCTTTTGAGAAAGCTATGATTTACATGAGTTAATATCAGGAATTGTCCTTCTCGTGATTATAAAGCAGACATTGAGGAGGTGCCAGCCAAGGCGGGCACAAAAAGTAGAGCCAAATGTTAATGTAAGAGTGATAAGTTAATGTAGTTAAGCTGACATATGAAGTTAAAGGGTTATATTGGTGCTTGAACTTATAATTATACAGAATGTGTTCTGTCAAGGTTAGAGAGGTGTGTGCCAAAACTTAAAGAAACCTGCATAAGACACTAACCTGGTTTTACTTGCCAAATCCAGTCAGTATTTTAATGTCTTTAATCTGACAATCCAGCATAATTCTATATTTCATCATTAGAAATTGTGGTGCTTCTGATACTTTTGTGGTGTAACATGATAGAACATTGAAGAAAGAGCAAACAGCATTTAAATGAGAGATTTATGATACTCCACAATGATTTACTACACTGTAGGCTACATGTTTACAGTTCGAGATTTTTAAAGTTACATCCAGTGCTAGTGAATAAATAGTGTCAGGCAACCAAAACCAAAATAGTGTCAGGCAACCTTTCTCTGTTCTGTTGCCGCATGTTTGGTTAGAAAAATTAGCAAAGTTTTACCTGGATTCCTATTTTTACCCTATTCTCCTTTTTACCTAAGAAAAACTTGGCAGAAGTATATAATAAAAAATGTAATATTTTATTTTTATTATAGATGGAACAAGAGTCATATTGACATATCAATATGTCAATATTTTTTATACCCCCCAAAAAAACAAAAACGATTATTTATGAAGTATTGGAATCTGGTGACCCTGACAAAAAACCTTTTCTGTAATTTATAAACTTATGGTTCCTATTAGTTTAAATAAAATGGTCGGTTAGCAAAATAAATAAACATAAATCACATGAACTGAAGTAGCTTATTTATGGTATGCATATGTGTGTTTTTAAAGATTACCTTATATGGAGCTAAGGTATACAGTGAATTTTCATTCCAGCTTTTTTCCCAGCCTCAGCCATCCTAATGCAACAATTAGCAGATTTAGCAGTTCTCCATGAATGCTAACGCTAACTTTTTCTGCTCCCTTCCCCCCCAAAACACACATTAAACTCTGGCAGAGATATAAACACTGAGGCTAGTGTTCAAATGTGTGCATGGACAAGTTTAGAGAGGAGCTTTAAGTTTATAAAATATTTACCCACTTGACTTGTGCACTACATGTGCGATAACTGTGTCTTAACAGTAAACTGCTGTGGACTGCAGCATCCTATAAGGCTGCAACATTACGATGATGACTCTGATAACACAATGCAATTATGAAACTTATCATTTGTTTACAATCAAACTTGCATTCTCATTGTTCACATTTGTGTGTTTTAAGATTTTATGCTGTTCATTTGTAGACCGGGTGCCAAACTTTTGATATGCTCCGTCTTCAGGAACAGAAATCCCTCTGATTGAGGGGCTTAAAAATGTATGTGAAAAAAAAGAAAAGAAATTACAAATTGGGTTTAAGCAATATTCAGTGAAAAAAGTTCTTGCTCTGCTGTCTGCCAGACACAGTACGTTTATTTTTAGATGGTGAAGCTTAACTAGTGAAAACTAGGATTATATCAGTCATTTCAAGTATATTGTAAAGTAATATATATTTTTGTAAATGAAAATTCAAAGATATTTTAAACATGCAAGAATTATTTCTCACACATATCAGTGTATCTGCATTTTCCTAGGAAACTTAAAATGTTATTTTAATAACACTGTACAGATTAGGGATTTATAAATTACAGTATTCATAATCCATAATGGTAGAGGTTACGTGTTTTTAACCAAAATGCAGTTGTTTTACAGATTGCCACTGGCAGCTTTTGTCTCCTACTCAGAATGAAATCATGTGTTGATGAAACAGCACCATTTAGTATGAGTGTCACAGCTAACCTGTACTTCTACAGTGGACCTGCATGGTCTTTTAACCTCACATGAATTTTACATATTTGTTTTATGTATTATGTACATTGTCCTGCTCCTGTATGTAAAAAGGGATTCTTTAAATTTCGACATTTCCCTCATAATTATTTTTGCAAAACTTGTAACTGATGTTTTGATACAATAAACTTCAATTCAAAAGTGAGCATTTTTTTCAAATTGAGACCTATTACTTGCCTTTCATACTTACAACATTTATATTTGTTCATCATTATTGTCAATAAACACACAAAAATACAACAATGTATGTAAACAATAAATGCACTAAAATACTAATCCACTATTCCAAACAACATATGGTTACAAATCTAGAATATTGTGCTGATCAGTTAAGTCTCTGATATCTGGACATAAGTTATACTTTCTTCGGCACATTAGTGATAATAGGTTTAGGTCGAGTTTTAAAGATAAGCTTCTTTTTGATGAGGGCGGAGACGGTGTAAGATGTTGGTTTCTCTTGGTTGGTTTCCATAGTTTCTTCTGTATTCCGAGGAAGTCCAGAGTGTTTCATCAGAACAGCAAAGGGCTTCTCCAGTTTGACCTGTTTTCCATAGAGGATGTGATGTCCGACTATAAGGACTGGTAATCCCTTGAAGAGTGGACAAATCAAGAATTTACCATAGGTAAAAAGTAGTTTTATAATTTTGTATGTATAATATATATATATATATATATATATATACACACACACATATATAATTGGGCACATTTCCGACCAAAATCAAAAGAAAAAAATAATATAGATACATACTTATATTATACGTATGTATGCATATATATATATACACATACATATAAAAATATGTTTGTATCTATATTCTTCTTTTTTTCCCTTTTTTTTTCTTTTCTTTTTGTCTGAAATGTGCCCAGTTTTTAGAGAAAGACAAACCTCTTTAGTGTAGTGCAGGTCCCCCATCAGATTTCCTGCTAGTCCCGTATTTTGTCTGGACATCATTTCTCCTTGCAGCTCCACCAGCAGCCATTCGGCTGGACCTTCGGCAGCATTACTGCAGAACACATCGAAAAGCATTTTCAACGAGCACTTTTAGATCATTCATGATCTGTAAAAACTTGTATTTCACACCAACCTTGAAATGACTATTTGAACCATTCTGTATCTGATTCCTCAGAATTCACAAATCACACAATTCTTCCTGTTTTGTAGACCTTCTCATCTGAAACGTTGTCAGAACAAGTCAAATATTACATCCACAAACTAGTCTACATGAATGTACAAATATATACTACATACGTAAGTACACTCACTTGTCAGGTCCGTAGTTGTCCACTGACACAGAAGTTTCCCGCCAGTTGGAAGACATTTCATTTCAAAATAAAAGTCCCATTGTGTTGAACCGCTAGAGGGCAATCGAGCTTCGTCTGCATTGACAATATATATATATATATATATATTTTAAAGAACATTAAAATTATTACTCTATTTGTAAAACATCGCCTACATAAAGTAAAATATGTCAATCGCACTCAATATTAGATTGTTTTCCACCGAATTAAGGATTAATTTTTTTTAAAAGATGTAGTTGAAAAGATGTAATAGTTATATGACTGATTTTTTTGGAAGATGTAAGAGATATATATGTTCGAATAATATGCATACATGGATGTATACGTCTTGTAACTTGAAAATTCAATAAAAAATGTCCGTGCGCATGCGCGGCGTTGGCCATGCGGAAAATGACTCGTCAGTGTTGTTGTGGATCGCTGACAGGCACGTGAGCGGTGCTACGTCGTCTATTTAGCAGTCGACATGGCGGCCACAACTCCTCCCAAGGTACTGAGCATGCTGCTTTATAAGTCAATACACGGTCAAAACGACAAATAGCTCCATTTTACCGATCTTTTTCCGTGGGTTGTGGTGTAGATATTCTGTTTGACCTGCTTTTTGAACTGTCGGTGCTGGGAAATAGATGATACACTGGTCTGGGAAACTGCTGTGTTTAGCAACAGTTAGCCTGGCTGCTAGCTGCCAAACCCACTGACATACAGCTGATCAAACTGCAAAAAACACGGACGTTAGAAGTAGCGTTTCCGTTGCCAATAGCAGCACAACTGCAATATCGAACGTATTCGGGGCGTCTGGACTCTACAAACAAATAATCAGAGTTGTGTTTGTACTTTAACTAGTGTTGAGTCATGAGCTGCCTGTCTGGCAGATTTATGAAGATGTTTTGAGCTTGATGGCTGATTGTTTATCAACTGATTCCGGTGAATTCCGCCATAAGGAAACATATGAATGTTTTTTTTCCATATATTAACTATTGGCACTACATAATCTCATTTTCGTGTGTATGGTTTTCTCGTGTCTGTTACACATGCATCATCAAGGACCTCCTTGGCCACCATGATGTTTTGCTGGTTGAGTTGCAATATATACACACTTACAGCTACCTACCACTACCACACAAATGCAGTATGAGAATATAGGAGACATGAACATTGCACATAGTTCCAGGTTATTCCATGAGTGTTTTCCCAGTGTCATTTTTATTTTTACAATGATCAATGCCATTTATTGTTGGGGAGTCTTCAAGAACATTGTTAATGTCAGTATGACAGGAGCTGTCAGTTCAGGCCTCAGGCTAAGACATTTAAAGGCACGGAGTAGAGTACTGAAACAGGATCTTGAAATGTTTGTTTTTAATGGCCTATTTTTAATTAGAATAATGTGTTTGGCTTATAATAATGATACTGTAATGTTTTATCAATACATGTTTCTTTGTGTTTGTAGGTGGTGTTTGAACATGAGGGAGTCTTCATTCACTCATCTCCAGATGAATCTGAGGATCAGGATTTAATATCGGGGTTCCTCAGGATTGTTGATAAGGTATGGTGGTTGTCAGTGATAATATTATTTATATTAAACGAGTGTGTTTTTCAGGATTGTTATGATTCCTTTAAGTTTTACCTGAACTGGGTCCACGTGACATACATAAGATGTTTTACCACATTCTTGTGTCACTGTTAGTACAGTTCAAAAAGCTTGGGATAACTTGTTTTTAATAGTGTATTTTTGAAAGAAGATACTTATGCTTACCAAGGCTGCATTTATTTGATCAAAAATACAGTAAAAACAGTAATATTGTGAAATATAATTACATTTTTTTAAACTTTTACTCCAGTCTTCAGCATCGCATGAAACTTCAGAAATCATTCTAATATGCTGATTTGGTGCTCAGGAAATATTTATTATTATCATCAATGTTGAAAACAGTTTTGGGGAAAAAACACGATACAGGATTTTTTTGATATGCGAAGTTCAAAAGAACAGCATTTATTTAAAAATAGAAATAATTTATAACTTTATACATATCTTTGCTATCACTTTTGTTTAATTTAGTGAATCCTTGCTGAATAAAAATATTAATTTCTTTCAAACAACATCGTACTTACTCCATACATTTCAATTGTAGTATATATATCTGAGAAGTCCGAACTACCTGCTTTTGAAATATCTGTAAAAATCACAGCCATCTAACAATCTCTCCCAATATCTATTTTTTCTTCTTTAACTGTAGGATGGTGAAACCCTTGTGGAATATAAACCCCTGGAGGATACAGATCCCTCAAACATACTGTGTGCCTGCAAGGTTTGTTACCCGTTTCATCTGTGAGAGTTTGCATATATATGTTAAACTGCCTCAGACAGTCATGTACTCTGTACTAGTATATTCAGGATTCTGAATAGTTTTCTGAATTGGGAAGGATAACTTGATTGTATGATTGTGTGAAGGACTCCAGCTCAGTGGTGGAATGGACTCAGAGTTCAGAAGACAACCCTCATCGTCCTGTCGACCATCAGCTGAGCTACGAAACCGAGTGGGATATGATCAATGCTGTCTCATTCCGGAGAAAAGCCCACACACATGGAGATGGTAAAACAATTAAGTCAAATGTGGCTGAAAAACCGCTTTTGTATCAAATTGCTTCCACCATTCATTTTACCCAGTACCTAACAGAAAATGTCAGCAAGATAACTTGTGCATCAGCCAGTGAATTTTGCCTATGGCCCTTTCTTTCCAAAACCAGATGGAAATCTGTAACGGTAACCAAGCGTATTATTTATTGTCACATTGTCACAGGTGGATCAAACCACGCAAATGACCGGAACAAGTGGGCCTTCTCTTTTAATGTGTGTGACCTCAGGTCTATCACAGTCAAATGTGAGGGCTGGTCATACATCATTTTCCGGTTGAAGGATGGCACAGCACTGCCAGCTATTCATTTCCACCAGGGAGGGAGCACAGCGTTCCTGGATAGCCTGAGGAAATCAGTTCAGATCAACGAGTGAGTGCAGTATGGGTTGATTTTATTTCAATGGATCGAGCATCTTTGGCTCAGCTGTAAGCAAATGTTGTGCAATATCGTATTGTAATATCATTCTGTTTGCGCAAGATCTAAATGATTTTGTATGCTCTTTTTGATTACAGCATTAGACCAGTAGAGTGTAGACATGAGTTACCGATTTTTTTATAAATGGTTTTGAATACACATTATATAAGCAGTGCTGCACAGAACCTGCAGTCTTATTTAATAATTTCTCTGCATGTATTTTCTTGTGGGGTAAGATCCATGGAATGATTTAAACTATGTTAAAATCCGATAAACAGATAATAATACGCTCTTATTATAGCTGAAAATGTGATAAAATATATTAGAAATGTTATATTTTAATAAATATAATATAAATTTGATTCATTAAAAATATTTTATGTGTAGTATATAATTATATTATATATATTAGGGCTGTCAAATGATTAATCGTGATTACTCACATCCAAAATAAAAGTTTTTTTACATAATATATGTGGGTGCACTGTGTATAATTATTTTATATATATAAATACACACACATGCTTGTATATATTTAAGAAATATTTTCATGTATATACTGTACATAGATTTATACATAATTTATATTATATATAAATATTTTATATATAAATAATATTTTTTTCTTAAATATACATGCATGTGTGTGTATTTATATATATACAAAATAATTATACACCGTGCACCCACATATATTATGTAAAAAAAACTTTTATTTTGGATGTGATCAATCACGATTAATCATTTGACAGCCCTAATATATATATATATGTTTATTCTATATTAATTATATATTTTTAATAAATTGAAATCAGTTATAACTAGTGCTGTCAAATCGATTAATCGCTTTTAACATAAAAGTTGGTTTACATAATATATATGTGTATATATATATATATATATATATGTAAATTAAATTAACATATAGTATATATGTGTGTGTGTGTGTGTGTGTACACTGTAGGTCAATACACATGCCTGTGTGTGCATGTGTACATACACATGCACACACAGACATATACATGATAAATAAAAAAAATTATAATATATATTATCTATGTATACACACATATTATGTAAACACAAACTTTTATGTTAGATGTGATTGATCGCGATTAATCGATTTGACAGCACTAGTTAAAACGTGCATGTGTTTTTGAACTTTGCTAATTTAACATGATCAAAAACACTAATCCATTTTAATGACTAAAGTTCAAATTAGAGAGCAAGTGACAAATATCGGTATCGGAATCGGCCAATAGTTGTTTGTTAAAATAGGTATTGGCGCATCCCTAATTTATACTAAAAATGGCATAGAATAGTGCACAAGTACGCAAATTGGGCTGCAGCTTTAGCCTGGGTTTCCCCATGCTGCCTTTGCGCAGCGCGATTTTATTCACGCTGCTAGGTAGTCTGGATACCATGGACCAGATTTTCGCCTAAATTAGCATGTCGGCTTTTACATAACTGTGTAGCGTCAGATGTCTTCCTCTGAATGAATATGGCTTAATATTTTCATTCTTCTTGTTCTTATCTTAAAAGTGACCCCTGAACTTTTAATTCACTAAATACCACTGGCATTTCACAACCAGAATTACTCGTCCAAACACTTCCTCCTTTAAAACTGAAGTCATCAAAATGTAACCCAATCTCCATGCAAATGAGATGGAATATCTCGGCACCTTTGAGGAAGTCTTGCATGTGTTCTGTGGCAAGAGGCCGTGAGCGTGATTCATGTAAGGTCGAACAGCAGCTGTGCATTTAGAGTTAAGGCTTTATGACAGGGACAGGAAGACACTCCTCTCCCCTGCGTTAAATATCACACCAGATTAAATCCGCCCGTAAGCATGCTGAATTCAGCCCTGCTGAGGAAAAGATAGCTGTTATTAAAGTTCTTATCTTAGTCTCCATAATGAAACATAGGCTGGGCTTTGTTGGCTCAGCT